TAATTTTAGAAGATTACGTTATTCAAAATTTGATGTCTCTAGGTACCGTTGTTTTTCCCGATGCCAGAAACATACACAGACTCATGCAGATTCTTCATTATTTAATTTCTTTAAATATAATGCAATTGTCTAATATTTGGTGGCAACAATGTGAAAAGGGAAACGCCGTTTATAGTGAGCCAACGCAAAATGCCAAAACGAAATTAATAACCCCTCTGCGCAAACTGCTCCTATTTGCATATCCTATCTTCGGATAACATTTATTATCCGACAAACGAATTATATTATCAGTCAGACAATATTCTTACTTAATGCAAGTTCCTGAAGGCATCCTAATATTTTTGTTTTTACATAGTGTCGTTTTTGCATTTTCATATTTTGGAACGTCAGCAACTAATTCGTACCTTCTTGAATAAGCAGTCTTGGTAAATTCTTCATGAAAACTTTTATACACTGGTTTAGCAATTTCTTCTCTAACGCAGATCTGTATTGTCCTTTTTACTTCAAACGTTTGACTGTAATATTTGATAAGTAGGAATGGGTTGTTCTGTTTATAATTCCATATTACAAGTTGGTCTTTACATTTCCTTTGCATCTATATCTTCTATACCTACTCAACTGATGCAGTTTTCGTATTTTCTATGTCCACGATGTAGATATCCATCAAATACTAAGCAAAAGTTTTCATTTCTGGTTAACATCCGTTCAACAGGCTCCATCTCGAATTACTACGACTTTTTTTTTTTTTTTTTTTTTTTTTTTTTTTTTCGGTCTTAAGCGGTATTGCTTCAAATTGCTTTCAGATCCTTAAATAAATAACAGCTTAGTTTGTTTCAGTATGCTGTGCTCATGATCTAAACTGCCCAGAGGAGCAACTGATCAGCTTTTGAAAAGGAATTAAAGGAGCTTTAAACAGAAAATTTTGTTTACGATCTCACACCAGGATTTCCTGAAATTTAGAAAAATGGCAGAAGGCCTGCAAGGGGATAACTTATAAGGTATTTCTCCCGTCTTTTTAGCATGCCTTCGTGGTGTAGTGGTCAGCACGCTCGATGCGTATTCGAGAGGTCCGTGATTTGAGCACCAAATATTATCGCTCTGTATTATATTTGAAAAAATTGAATAATAAAGAATCTGCATGAACATATGTATGTTTTTCGCACTGTTAAAAAACAACGATACTTAGAGTCATCCAATTTTGAATAACATATCCCTCCACCCTAATATCACAAAACCTAACATTTGGAACCTAACATGGAAGCCCAAATTTGGAATTTGTTTTATTGTCTGTTTCATATTTTGTAAAATTTTAGCGAATTTTGATTAAAAAACTGAACGATTTCAAAGCGAGCAGTGGCAACACTGTAGGGAATAAAAGCCTTTTATCTCCAGCGCACGAGACTGTCTAGCGGAATTCTAAACCCGTTTGGACGTAATATAAAATCCGAATAATTTCAGATTTTATTTTTGATCATATCTTCATCTGTACTATATATTTAATCAATTATTAGAGCACTGAGTATTTCATGAAGCATATACAGTAGATTCCCACAAACTCGACTCCTGATATCTCGACATTCCGTATAACTCGAAATTTTTTTAGGAACTTTTTAAAGATATCTCTAGGCCAAACAGAGCAAATATCACATACAGTACATATAATTATTATTTATGCATATATATTTACTATTCTATTCAAAGATTTGAGTGTTCTTTTTTTATAATTTTTGCCATTAATTCTAGGAACTGCCTAACAAATTTCAAGATATGTTGTAATACTTGGCAACGCTGTTTGTTTCTTTTGAGGATAGGAAGAAAGTCAGATAGTGGCTGGTCGCTAGCTCACATTCCTTTCTGTCGTTGCGAAACGTTAGGAGACTTGTCTGAAGTTTCGTGACAGCATCTTTTGCAAACTAAACGCATACGAATTCATTGTTTCTCAGTTCACAGTATTTGTGTTTCATAGTTTTGGGAACTTTTGGTATTCTGTGAAGTGAAAATTTCGTTTGAAAAGAAAACATTCTAACGTGACAATGGAAATGAAACCAGATGCCTTAAAGAGCCTGGACAAAGGGAAAAGTGTGTACAAAAATTACAATGGATTTATGTGTTGGGCGGGCTACTTTGATAGGGTGAAAAAGAAGAGGTCCGAAATCGAGTCTTGGTGTGTGAAAAGAGCATGCACGGATAGTTTAAAGGAAAGAAAAAGTATGAAGGTGGTGAATACGGGGGAAAATGTGAGTGAGGCGCTTTATTTGTAGTTCAGGCAGCAAAGGGAACATGGAACACCCATTTCAGGACCAATTTTACAAGAGAAAGCCTTAAAATTTTACCACCAAAGGGTGGCTTCATGAGGAATACTGAATGTGATTAAATGGACAGATATCGTGTTTCATAACCCTCGTTTTTTGCCTGTTTAGTGATATATGGCACGTTATGTACGCATATATATTCCCTATTTCGTACAAAAAATTGTACGAAACAGAGAATTTTTAAACAAATGAAATCTGCTTTATCTTCTTGAAATACCTAGTATAATATTTTGCAGAGATCTAAGTAATTCAGTTGAGGTTAAAGAACTCAGACTACTCAAAGTTATGGCACACCCTGCTCAAAAGAAAAAAAAGGCGGACGTTTTTGTATCTACCGTGCTACTGGGCGGATTGACGAAATTTAACTTACTTTTATGTCTCGAAAGCGCGATTTCGTATGTATCGAGACTGCGTAGCTTACAGGCTAAAGCTAGCAGAGTTACTTTCAAGATGTCGCAGATTTCGACACTTCCGAGCAATACCACTTATCAAAGTCCTTCTACACAGCAAATAACTAATCTACGAATGCTCCAGAAAAACCTCCAAAGGCGCAAAAATAACTCTGCCACATGCGTTAAAAATATACCAGGAAGAACATACAAACCTGATTTTCGCACAAGAACCCTGTGTACCGTCAACGAGAAAGTTGTACTTATCAACGGGTCTATTTTCTTTCCTCTCCACAACAGCTAAATCAGCAATAATCTATAATGGTCCTCTAACCCCTATCCTTGTCCTCACCACGTAACACACAGTTACCATACAACTGGAAACTTTAAATTACCCCCTTTATTTAACGTCAGTATATGCACCTCCTTCTGTTAAACTCCAAGGTGTCCTGCGGAAATGGGATAACCTCAACTTCTTCCCCATCAACAAAACACCTTATAGCAGGCGATTTTAACGCCCACAGACCAATCTGGGTCGCTAAAGCAGAAAATAAAAGAGGCAAAATACTACGTCAATTTCTACAAGAAAAGAGCTTAATGTTACTTAACGTCTCGGAGGGCCAGCCAACTTTTCAAACCCTACAGCCCAAAGCTGGATAGATCTTACACTAGCGACGCCCAGTATTGCACCTATAGTTTCCAACTGGAAAGTCTTAGACCAGGAATCTTTAAGCGATCACCGCTACATAACCTTTCAATTGCAAGAACTCAACTTTACTATAAAGAGACGTTTCAAAACAACGTATGGAGGCCACAGCAAATTTAAAGCGAAATAATAGCCTGCTCGCAGGATATTATACGCTCCTTTGAAATAGTAAACTCTAATGAAGAAGTAAATGCCTCAACAGACAGTTTCATTCAAACAAAGACAGATATCTGTGTCTCAAGCTACAAACAAACTTTCAAAAATTTCAAGCTACATTGGTGTCACAATTCCCTTACAATAGAAAGGAGCAGTCCTATTTGTAACGTTGTCAAATCCTCGTTAGGAGTATTATTTGGTTTAACATTAATAATAATGTAGTTTTCTGAAGTTTTACATTTTTTTCCTGTGTATATGCCCAATGATCTACCTTGATGCCAAATTTCAAGTATCTAAGTCACTTAAAAGTGGCGTAGGTTTTTGATGAATGAGTCAGTGAGTGAGTGATAAAAATGACGCTTTTCAGACCTTAATAATTACATAACTATTAGAGGCATATTAATGAAATTTGGGGTTCTAGGTGCTCAAGAGAGCTCAATCAGACATACAAAATTGCAAGTTTGTAGGACTAACAACTTTTGGGTAATGCGGGGGTCGAAAGTAGCTAAATATGTTTCGTGTAAGATACGCGTGGCCGGTGTCTCGCCGTTTTCTTTTCCGTCTCTTCCGAACTTGGCAGACATATTGCCATGTGTCTAAATAAAAAAAAGAGATATTAATAAATTCAATTAATATTGAGGAGCTAAAATTTTGAGAGCTAATTATTTAAAAACTACTCGTGCTATTTCAGAAAACTCGCCTGTTTGGAATAATTCGAGTCGTAAAATCGAAGTGTGAAAAAAAATCTTTATTTTAGAAAATTTATGTTATTTTAGAAAAAAGTCCGATTTTGTGTCAGAATACCTATGTTAGAACAATTGCTATATATAAATCAAATATATATCCAAAGTCGGGCCTTCGATATATGAAAAACGCAAGTTAAATTTCGTCAATCAGCCCAAGAGAACGGGGGATAGAGAACTGCCCCCTTTTTTTTGCGAGGTGTACCTAGTTTCTGCATCTCAGTCCAAGTTACTGAAATTTAAAATCTTATTGATTTCATGTTAGCACTTGTTTTCGTCAATCAGCCCAAGAGAACGGGGGATAGAGAACTGCCCCCTTTTTTTGCGAGGTGTACCTAGTTTTCTGCATCTCAGTCCAAGTTACTGAAATTTAAAATCTTATTGATTTCATGTTAGCACTTGTTTTCGTCAATCAGCCCAAGAGAACGGGGGATAGAGAACTGCCCCCTTTTTTTGCGAGGTGTACCTAGTTTCTGCATCTCAGTCCAAGTTACTGAAATTTAAAATCTTATTGATTTCATGTTAGCACTTGTTTTCGTCAATCAGCCCAAGAGAACGGGGGATAGAGAACTGTCCCCTTTTTTTTGCGAGGTGTACCTAGTTTCTGCATCTCAGTCCAAGTTACTGAAATTTAAAATCTTATTGATTTCATGTTAGCACTTGTTTTCAGTTTTCCTCTTTTTTTTTTTTTTAGGCACAAGCAGATTCTGGTATCAGACCTTACCCACGTAATCAAGTGAATGATTTCGAAGTTATAAGAGAGTATAATTTCCCATCGTCTGAAGATAATGCATCTGAAGTCAATTCAAATACGACAAAAAGTGACAGACGTGTATTTCAGCCGAGATATCAACAAATCAGAAGAGGAAAAGCCAGTTATTCTCCAAGAGGTGAAGTAAATGAAAACGATGCAGAGTATTCTTTCGGCATATCTCGCACTCCGGAAAATCTTTTGGCTGCGTTAGAGAGCTACGATAAAGAATTATATGAGACGACTATTCATAAAAGTATTAAGAAAATTCGGGATGTTTACACAAAATTCCAAAGGGCATCAAAACGCAGAAATTGTCCAGGAAATTATGCCGATGTTTTGAAAAGGAGAATGGAAAATCTAGACCTGCAGATGAAACAATTTAACTCTTTTCTAGCAGAAATCGCAAACTTGATATCGTATAACTGTGAAGAAAATTTTATTAGATCTACAATACAACTCGAAAATGATTTATTCAAATTAAATATTCCATCATATGGCGTGGCTAATGAAATACTGAAAGCTTTAGAGATAAATCAAGTGGTGATTGTCCAAGCTGATTATTCTTATTCATTCAACAATATATTGCCCATTTTCATTCAAAAGAAATTTCGAAATCATTATTTAATTTCATGTGAAACTAATGAAACGCTGCGTCTGGACTTGCAAAAGAATATAAGTTCCAGGTTTTCTCAGTTCAGAAACGTGGATATTACAAAGACCGAAGAAATGCTCTTAAAGGAACTTGCTAACTGGAAAAAATCATTTGAAAAACCTTTGTTCATAATTTTAAATCTTCCTTTGGAACGATCACTAGAAGCCGATCTAATGTTGGCTAAATTGCGTGAAATACTTTCACAATGCGTGCATTCGAGAATTGTACTGCTTGTATCAAATCAGGATAATGCTTTCAAACTGGAAAATTACTTTTCAAAGGCTTGTCTTTTGGAAATGCCTGAACTAATTTTTCCTGTGACTGTTAAACTGCGTCATCGTGCACTTCCACCAGTGGAAAATTATATAACTGAAGCTGTCGGAAAAATAATAGCTATTCACAATTTAAAAATTAAGGGTGATATACTTGCATTTTTTCCTTCACTGTCTAATGCGATAACTGCTTCAAATAATGTGCATAGTAAACTGAAGGAAAAGGTGAAATGTGATGTATTGATGGACACCAATCAAATTTCTCACACAGAAAATAAAATGGGCAGACAGGAAAGAAATGTATTTTTTGCAAGTGATGGCGCAGAGATGTTATTTAATCCTACCGTGCAGCACGTGATTGATTGTGGCGTACGTAAAGTTTATGTGTACGATCCGATTAATAATTTAGACGTAGAAACTCTTACGTATATTTCTAATGCCCGAGCAGAGATTCGAAAATCTTTAGCCGGTGTAACTGATTCGGGTGTTTATTATCCATTATACGATGTAGAAAACTTAGAAAAAGAAGAATATCCACAAGTCCTGCGATCTGATCCTTTGAATACCATGCTTAAAATCTACAACATGTGGCCTCAAAAGGCATTATCGATTGAATTTATGGAATCGTTTTCCGATGATTTAAAAAATGATGCCATTAAACTTTTGCAAAAGCACGAAATCCTTAAACGAGGTAAATTAACAGAATTTGGTAAAAAGGTTGCCCAATTACCTTACAGCTTCAAACACTCCAAACTGATTATGTTCGGATTTAAATGGGGACTTAAATTTGAAGCTGTAGTGATTGTTGCATTTTTTCTTGCCAAAGGAAGAGTGTTTCAGTATTCCACTGATGAAAAAGTTCAAAACACAATAAATGCTATTAAAGTTAAGTTTTTACGAAATGACAGCGATGTGTTGTCTTACTTATATATATACAAAGAGTGGGTAGAAAATAACTACAGTGACTCATGGTGTGAGGATAATTTTATTAACTTAGAAACGATGAAGAGTGTTCACGAAAATGTGAATGAAATATGTGAAAATATAGATAAACACATGGAACAAAAAATAGAACAACAAATATGTGACATGGATTTGTATATTTCAGATATATTGCAGATGCTATTAGAATGTTTCCAAGCTAATCTGTGCGTATCCACTGGCCATTATCGTAGTGGATACCGTATTTTATCTTCTGGCAGCATTGGTTTCATCCATCGATCGTCCATGGTACATGATACACAGAACTTACCTGAAATCCTTATTTTCCATCATATGCTTTCAACAAGCAGAGATTTTCTTTTTGATGTTACTGCTGTTCCTAGAAAAATAGTGGAACAATGTGTAGCTAAAGGCAAACTGGATATCCAGCTCTCAGATCTGAGGAAAGAAACCTTAGTCCCAGAACGTATAGAACCAGTCTCAGAAAGAATAATTAGGCAATTTCTTCTTGGCAAAAGGGGACAGAAACTGAAACAAATAGAGCAAAATATCAATGAGCAACTTAATGACACATGTATTATAATTGATCCATCCGCAGAGAAAGGTTTCGTCGACATCTATGCTTTAAGACATCAGATTCTAAATGCTAAAAATCTTTTGATAGGTATGATACGAGAGCATTCACAATATTCACTAAGTCGGGAAGAGTTAAGTATCTTAGAATTGAGGGGCGAGCATAGCAAAATACCTGTAGAAATAAAATGGGCCAGTGGAGGAATAGTAACTTCAATTAAAGTAGATCACCATTTGAATGTAGAAGATAACTCATATATTAGGTTTACTGCAAACTCACCAATCTCCGTACATCACAGCATTCACTTAACATGGAATCGTAGAGACTGCAATGGTACTGCATTTGTGACATTCTCCAACGACAAAGATTTTAGAGAAGGAAAGAGGGAACTTGAAGAGAGATTTATTTCCTTGCTAGGGTGCCAAGTGAAGGTTGGAATAAGCAAAAACCGCAAACAATCCTTGTATATTACTGGACTTCCTCCCAGTGCAAGAATTAGGGATCTGGAAAATGACTTAAATAGTCTTTTGCCAGGTATTAAACTAGAAATTCGCCTTATTTATACCCCTGAATTTGAAACGACGGAGCGTATGTTACAAGATCTCAAAGATAAAGTGGAAGATTTATGTGATGAATGCACTGATCTTGCTTCTTTCAATATTATCATTCCTCCACCAAAACCATCTTCAATAGATATGAAAGCTTTCATTAATGTGAATGAAGATGAGAATTTGGAGGAAGCAGCACGGCGGCTTTCGGGCCAAACAGTTGGGAATTCGGAAATCTCTAGTTTAATTGTATGTCAGTCAAAGATTAAAATTAAAATGGAAATATATAATGCACTAAAATCGGCATTTAATGACTGCTTCCTTAAATTAAAACGCAATAAGATGCAGGAATTTCCAGATCCCTTTACGTTCGAGTTCATTGACGATCAGAACAGAAGTTTTAAAATCCTGAAATTATTAACACATTACAAAACAATAATGGAAGAATTAAAATTCATCGTAAACGAGCAACTGGAGGGTCAAGTCCTAAGAAGTAAGGATTCGAAAGAACTTTCAAAGCTTTTTTGCTATGGTGGGCACGTATTTTTGAAAAACTTGCAAAAAGAAATCTTAGGTAATGAAGACGAGAATGACCTTTGTATTATAGAGGATGCCAAAAGAAATGTCATCAGGCTGTATGGATCTATTTGGAAACGCAAGAAAGCAAAGGAAAGGATAATTAAATTTTTAGAGGACTCTGAAAACGAAAACGTGAAGATCATCCGATTATCTGATGGAAGCAGTAGACGAGTTCTCTTGAAAGCTGTAATAATGGAATATGGGGTTAATTTGGAAAACTTCATTGAAGCCTGTGGTTTGAGGTCTGCTATTCTCAATTTAAAATCCTGTGAGATGGAAGTGTACGGTAGTCCTGAATCTACAGCAAGGGTGAGTAATCCTGCAGGGTAAGTAAAATCGTGTTTATTTATATAAAATTTTAGAGCTGCTTTAGTTTTATTATATCATGCACTACACACCTTTCTTAAGTATAAAATAATTCTGAAAGGTTCAAATTTGGCTTTTTTAAGTTTAATACGGTTTATCAATAGAGATGACCTAGGGATAACGAAGCATTTTATAGGATATTAGATGCATATATATTTATGGGAAAGTTATACATTTTCTGTATATTTAAAAAATAAGTAAACATATGTTACCGTGAAAGACCGAAATTGGAGAATGTCGACTTTCACCGGAGAATGTCAACATTCACCAAATACGTCGGTGAAAGATCGAATATTGCATTACATTCTTGTACATTCGGACCCTCACCGGTGTATGTCGACAGTCACAGATATGTTCTGGTGTAGGTCCAAAAGAGAGGTCATAAAGTATCATAATAGTTTAAATTGTTGCAATAAATAAGATTTCAATCACATAATTTTAGTAAGTTTTTTATTACTATTATTTTATTTTCTCATTTAGAACGTACTGTATTATTAAGTAAGTTTTAAACTTCTATTATTTTCCTTTCACATTTTGAATGTACCGTGGGTTTTAAGTTCTTATTTTAACTCTCAAGTGCGTTTTTTCGCGACTGAATTACGGAGAAGAAAGTACATGGTGAATGTCGACATTTACTAGTGTAAGTCAGAAATAAGAGTATTTGGAAAATATTTCGGACATACACCAAGCGACTAGGTGATTGTTGACATTCACTGGTGAAAGTCGACATTCTCCGGATTTCGGTGTTGCACCGTAACATATACATAATGTAAGTCTATAAGAACGTTAATATTTTTAATTAGATTGTGGGATTTATTTAAGTTACGTAACAGTTAATTTTATTTTGAAGCAATCTTTCCTAATTGCTCTTGCTTTCAACGCATGTTTTCTTACCAGAATAATATTTCATTTTCGCGAGCTATGCGAAGTAGGGTAGAAAGGTGTCTGAGTTACTTCAGACAGAGCGCTTTCTGCCTTTCGGACACGTTGTTTCGCTGATACTTAAGCTTGTTATTTTAGGGCCGTGGATTTTTAATTGCCGGTTTGTTTACGTCGGTGGTAGGGCTAAAAGCCGACTTGCCTTAATTATCCCTGTACCGCTATGCTAATTATTTAACTTGGTTTTAATTTTGTATTTCTATTCTGAGTTACATCCAAAAGTATTGGCTCAGATTGTAACCAAGACAAGTGCCGACTGCAATTACTTGAGTTGAATAAAAGGGTTTTCTCACCCTTTTCACATGTTGTTATTGATACAATTTGGAGTTAGCGAATAGTCGCTTCACAGTTCAAGGAAAAATCTAACAAAAAAGGTAACTTTAGTTTAGTTAGAATCTTACATTTGGAGCTCGAAAAGTTTACAAACCATGTCACAGGACAATGGAAAATTTACTTTGTGTCTTTCATGGCTTCAGCCCACCAGCGGCCGAGCGGTAAAGTCGCTGAACACTGGTAGTTCGGTCTGAGGTTCGAATCCCGCGAACGGGCTGGCTGCATGGGTGTTTTCGTGGTTTTCCCCATGTGTAACGTGTATACGAGCCAGTTTCCCTTAGAAAGTCCTCCACGAAGGCATCCCTCCCCTTAGGCAGATAGCCCTCGAGGCTTTGCCATGATTAAATAACCTAACCTAACCTTTCATGGCTTCAAGTCCCATTGCCACAAGTTAACCCAATGGAGGCTTTTGGCTTCATACGCGTGACCATGCACTCCCCGCCATGAAACCCGCTGCCGCTTTTGACGTAAAGAGTTCCATTATGTGGTTTCTGGAAGAGTTAGATTTCATATTATAGCGCATTCTGGAAATGCAGAAAGTTACGATTGCTACGGCAAATTTGAAAGGCCGAGAGTTAAGCTGGTTCAAAGGTATAGGAAAGTTCCTGCTAGGTAAGCCAGGGTTTAAAAATGCGTTAATATTAAAATGCATAGTAAAGGACTGAGCTAAATTAGAGGCTGAACTTTTCAGCAAATATATAGCAATAAATTTTCAGCAATAAGGTCAAGGAGCTGACCGAATTTATTTTGAGGAAATTTTTTTTCCCGAAATTTTCAACATATGATGCGGCAAGAGGCCAGACGTCGAGATGATCGAAGTGATTATATCGCGCCTGCTTCTTTCAATTCAGGACTTTTTCCTGGTGAGCAATCCTACCACGCTCGAAAGTTTTGTTCAACTATCTGTAAAGTTCGAAAGCCGGCGAGCGTCGGAAAGTATGCGCTCGGCGGGACATGGGCAGAGTCCCGCTCACAGTTTTCAGGCCTTCACCCCAGCAAAAGCCACAGCGTAACCAGAATAGGTAGTGTTCTTCTTTTTCTGTATATATATATATGTGGGTTCTTTAGTTTCAAAATTCAAAATCACAATTCATGCTCAAACAAAACACATTTAATAAAATATTAATACATCTATAATATTTTGCATCTATTAATACAACATATATATCATCTTATATCTATAAAACAATATCTATTACATCTATTAATACATCTATATCATTTTACATCTATAAAACAACATCTTATATCTCTTCTAATAAAACAAAGTGGCGAGAGTTCTATCAATTTCACTCGTGCTAACAGCTAAAATTTAGACAGCGCGCGAGGAAAAATATTAAGGATTTAAATTTATGGATTTAAAATCCCACATTCGGCCTTCCTGCTATGCGTCAACCTCCACGACATTATTCTACTCTTGACATTATAAATCACTGGTCATCTTACATCATCGTTGTCTTCAGTAAAAGAACCATCATCAAGAATAAGCCGAAACCTGAAAAGAAGTACGAAGGGAGAGGGGAAGATTGTGTGCTAAGGACAAAATTGAAAGGAAACATCTTAATTGTCCTTCATCCTTGCAACTATAACATCTTCAACAGTCCCTTCTATTTTTTAGAAATCTTCATCTAAGTCAAAAAAAATCTTCATTCTTTAACATTTTTGGAAAACTTCATTTCATCTTAAAAATAACATTGACTGAAATAAAAGTAATTTAATTTACATTAACTGCTATTGCTTTAGGAAATCTTGTTTTGGGGACAGAAGGTTCTTCAAAGAAAGATTTGTGTCTCATATAGGTCCTTGTCTTAGGTTTAGTTAATTCGTAAGTTGAAGTCGCACTAGAAAATGTTGTTGGAACAGCAGCGGCATCCCACAGGTCTTCATCATGTTCCCAATCATCAGCATTAAGAATTTCTCGTAGCTGACGAAATTTTTCATCGGTTATACACATCTTTCTTTCCAGTTCTGCTTGTTTGTCAGATAATCTCTTCTTCATCATTTTTTTCATGCGATCTTCTTCTAAAGCTAGCATTTCTTGCATTTTCAATTTAACATGTTGAACTTCTTTTTCTTTCTCAGACAGGATTTTATTTTTGGTTCTCATCTGAAATTTTGCAGCTTCTAGTTCATTCCTTGCTTCTGATAGTTTTTTCTGTAATATTTCTACAGTCTGTTCTGATACAGAAAGTTTTCTTTCCAAAGATCTAACTTGTTGTTCAGGAGCATTCAAACTCATTTGTAAGATATTTTCCTGCTTTAGTTGTTCTTTATTTGTAATTGGTAAACGCCTGGGTCTCAAAGAAATAGGTTGGTCATCTTTTAAAATAACATGCATTTCGGTATTAGTAGATTTTCCTTTGGCTTGTCTTCTCTTAAGTTTTTCAGACATACCAGGATCCAGTTCTTCAGCTGGAAGTTTATCTTGCTGTTTACTCTTTTTTACTGTTGATATTCCTGTTTCATCAGAATTAACTTCAACCAATTTCTCAGATTTTGAATTCTTTCTTTTTCTAGAACTTCTTGGCTCTGAAGTGGGTTGTTTTCTGGATTCATTAATTGAACATTCTTAGATGGGTTTTTTTCTTCTTCCTTTAGGAATGGAGTTCTTCTCTTCCTCTAAATTTTGCAATTTTCCTTGTCCACGTTTAACATCACTTTTCTCTTCTTGAGACTCCTCTTCCTTTAATTCAACAGCAACCGTTTCCTCTATAGGGTTATCATTTCTATTAGGAATATGACTTTCAATTAGATGTTTTAATTCAGAGTTATGCGCTTTATTAATACCCGAACAAATATCTAACTCATCTTCTTGATTTACATTTACATTCATTACATTCAATTCAGTTTCATCTTCTGCTGCTTTCATAGATATCCCGCTCTTGTTTATAATAATTTCCATTTGACAAAGCAATTCATTGCCAATAACAGCATTTTCTTTCATTGTTCCTTGAGGCACAACATAAATATTTGATTTAATTTCACAATCATCAATTCGTATGGAACTTTTAAAATACCAATAGGTTTTACTTTATTATTACCAAAGCCTACGAGAATGAAGTCGGAAGAATTAATATTAGGCGAACCAATTATTTTATAAATATTTTCCGATACTATATTTATATCACTTCCTGTATCAATCAGAGCTTTTACTTCTACATTATCTATCGATACAGTTTTATGCATGTCATTTAACTACTTGTTTACAAATATATGATTTACTCTGGCAAAATCTTTTATAGTAGTCTTATTTTTTGTACATTTTGCAGCTACGTGTCCAAATAAATTACAACAAAAGCATTTTTTTCCCTTGCTCTTACTTTTGCAGAAATTCTCCACGTGACCAAGATTTCCGCAGTTATAGCAACGAATATTTGTTTTTATTTTACTTTCAAAATGTTCGTTTCTGGTTTTAGAATTAGGCTTAACGGATTGGCTTTTATCATTATCTAATTTAATTTTTTCATATATCTTAAGTTTTTCCTGAAATTCTGCCAAAGTTTTACAACCATAAAGAATAGCTTTATTAAATGAAGAATCGTTTATACCATTAATAACATATTCAAATAAAGCGGCGTTTTCAATATTACATTTAGAACACATATTTTTAATTACCAAAAAATATTCATATAGCGATTCTTTTTCCTGCATTTTACGTTTTGATAATAATTCATGTAACTGAGCAGAGTTATACTGAACACCATATTCATTTACTAATAAAGCCTTAAGTGCATTCCACGAATTAATTTTTGTTTCACTTTCAATGCATTACCGGTTAAAGATCGTTTGGCGAATATCAGTTTCTGTAATTCATTTAGTTTGAACAAATTAGATACATCCTCAAAGTTTTCAATAAATTTTTCAACCGAATTATAAGGATTACCATCAAATTTAGAAATCAAACTTTCAATATCATTAAAATTTATATACATATTTGAAAACTGTGAAAACGGAAATTGAACTGATGACTTACTAATATTTTGCTTTAGCTCATGATCTTCATCAATAGCAGCAAAAGAAGAGTCTTTGAAAATTCGAGCAGTTGATGCATCGATTTCACTATTAACAGAAATATTTCTTCTATCATCCAATATTGCTTCATATTCCTCTATTTTTTGCTTGTAATTTGATCCCGATTCTGACACCAATTTTGTGGGTTCTTTAGTTTCAAAATCACAATTCATGCTCAAACAAAACACATTTAATAAAATATTAATACATCTATAATATTTTTGCATCTATTAATACAACATATATATCATCTTATATCTATAAAACAATATCTATTACATCTATTAATACATCTATATCATTTTACATCTATAAAACAACATCTTATATCTCTTCTAATAAAACAAAGTGGCGAGAGTTCTATCAATTTCACTCGTGCTAACAGCTAAAATTTAGACAGCGCGCGAGGAAAAATATTAAGGATTTAAATTTATGGATTTAAAATCCCACATATATATATATATTTTTCAAATATATTTTGTGCTTATCTCTGAGCCCCTCTTCTGTAACTCCGATCTACAAGCCTCATAACTGTAATCAGTCAAGCAATGTCAAAAGGTCGCCCCTGTCGTCACCATCGAAATAGATAAGGCCTGCGCTCTGAAACGAAACTGGCTTGTGACGTCACGGTTAAGGGACCCTCAGCAAACTTTTTGTTGGCTTTTATAAGTTGTAATTTTTTATTCATTATGTTTTAAGAATTGAATTTATGTTTACTTTTGACATCTGAAGCATCATCCCTTGTAATAATTACTAACACTAGTAATATAAAAATTGTCAGCAAAATTTATGATTATTTATTTTAATTGGAACCTAATTTTATATGAAATAACTGTCTAAGGGGTTAAAAAGCATAACACTTATTTCATTACATAATATGTAGAATATCAAATGCAGAGTAAATTTGATTCTTGACAGAGTACTGTGTTCTTAAATTTAAATATCAATGTTTTTTTGCAAATCATTAAATATCATTTTATCATGATGAAAACTTAAATGCATATGTTTAGCTAATATAGCTTCTGTTCACTTTTATATATGTTATTATCATGCAATCAGTTGTTTAAAATTTGTTATGCAATAAATCTTTCTGAGAATGATAGAAAAGTTTCTAAAGTAATGTATGTAAGATTCATATTAAGGTAATTAAATTGCGAAACTGCAAAATGAAATTTTAAAAATGTACAGTTATTGAAGAAGCAGTAGTAATTGAATTCATATGTAGACATACTTGTTTTCATTGTATTTCAATTCAATGCAATTAATTTTAAAAACAATTTTTTTAATTATCTTTTAAATTACAATCTTTAATTTGAGTACGTGGCACCACCAAAAGCTATGTAAGTTAAGTTAAAAAAATTGCTTACATTATACAGAAAAGTTTTGAACATGATGTTAGGATTTATATTTTCTTTTCATGTGAATATTAATAGAAAAATATTTTCAGAACAGAGGTAACGCTTATAGTTAAATAGGTATGATGTAAATATTTGCAAGAAATTTCAGTTTCTAAAAGTTTTTTAAGTATTTCGTATATTTTTAAAATATTTTCAAAAAAATTGTGTATAACTTTATTTAAAAAACTTTTTTCCTGTCTTATTTGGAATTTTAATATTGACAATCTTCAGAGCTATGTAATAAACATTATCTCAATTTAACTACATATTCTGTCGAATAATTATGTAGCATTAAGAGGAAAACATTAACTGTAATACAGATTAACATACAATATGTAAGTAAGAAATAATTTTAAGACTAGACTATTTAGTAATTTATTACATTCAGAAAAATTTTCTGACTGATGTAAGGCATTTAAATGTTAGTCTAAATATTAAGTAGTCTCTTGCATTCGTTTGATGCTTTATAATCCTGCTACATTAATATGATAGATATAAAATATGCAATAATTATAGAATGAGAGATAACATGTGTCCCCACTGGCAAACATTTTGTTAAAGTAGTGGGTGAAACAAAAAATTTGATGCGGTGATGAGAATCAACGAGAGACACAAAGACAGTGCAGAAAAATCAAAGTAAAAATTTTAGCTACTTGAATTTTAAAACCAATTTTTCTTCAAAGAAATGATTTGCTTTTAAAAGCACCACACCATTCTCAAATAATTTTGTTTTGAAAATAAATATTAACAAAAGAAAATGAAAATATTTCATATTCGTATAAGCTTTGTAAAGCATTATATTGCCGCTTGTAATTTTGTTTTAGACTGATTTTATAGTATGAGATACCAATTTCATAGAATAGGTTTAAAAAAACGTGTGTTTAGCAAGGAAGCTAAACTGCGCGAAGACCGGTCCCCTAGCAGTGACGTAGTAACTCAGCGCGCAGGCCTTATCTATCTCGATGGTGACGCCCCTGTTTGGACATGTAAACTCCTTTTGAGCTCTCTATGAACTCCCGGTGTGGCCTCTTGAGGCCCCAGGGAGTTGTTGTCACTAGATAGAGGAAGGCGAGAGACGCATGCCTGTTTATCTCTGGTAGGCATCAGGCGTCCGAGTCCTCCGTCACCTACCTTACCTACCGTTAAACGAAAGAGACTACAAGGGTTAGTAATAGAAAAAGTGGTGAAAAAAGAAAAGGTTTTGCGATCGCCAGAGTAAGCAGTAAGGAAAAAAACAAGGGTCAGAGAAACAGATTTTAAACTACCGCATATTTCAGGGTATAATGGCAACTTTTAACACAAAAAAATAGGACCGAAATTTCGAATGCGAGTTATATGCCGGATATAAAAATTGTAGCTTAAACATAAGGAAAAAATTCGATTTTTACATGCACCAAAATGCTGCTTATTTAACCCATTAACCGCCAAAACTACACGTAATGTTTCTTTTCTCATGAAAATAATAACAAATATTAAATTAAGCATTTATAACATAAATTTACATTGAAAATAAAAAACTCGCTTTCTCCAGTGTTGCGTTCGCGCAACGTCAGCGGAATAAAACTACGGATGTTTAGTGAGTAGGATTGTACTCGTGTGATGTTTCTTTTGAGTACTGCAACTCACGAAAACGAAAAGTATACTTCATCATACATATCTTATGAGCCACTCAAAGTTATTCTGAAAACTCCCAGATAAAATTTCTGAAGAAGCAATCTTTACTGACCTAGCGAGACGAAATTTTCCGATCCTGAAAGTGAAGCAGTTTTGCAGAAGCGTCAAGAACAACTCAGAAAAGCTTCCAGTTTGGCTTCTTGAATTAAAGAAAAGTAAGAATGGATATGCAATCCACAACTTAAACAATATGTTTAGCGTCAACGTGGTCATCATCGTCAACGATGAACGACAAGTACAAGCACAGAAAACGACCCAGAAAACGACCGATCCGGTGTTTCAGGTGTCAGGAGTGGGGACACTCCCAGCACCTGCGCACAAATCAAGAAAGATGTATCAAATGTAGACTACTTCATCGCAGCATATATAATTATTTTATGATAAAAATAATTGTTCCTTTTTCTTTCGCAAAATTCGCCAAAGTGCGCCAAGGTGGTTGCGATAATGCGCAAGTACCTTTTTACTTCTTGTTTATCCGACACTTTTAAAAATTGACGAAATAACTGGAACAAAAATGGGAAACTGGCAGGGACACGGGGACCACACCATCAGACTGGGATAGCCCCGGTCAAAGCGGGATGTCTGGAAGCCTAGTGGAATTTAGAATTTAGCTAATAAAATTAAATGAATGCTAACGAAATGAAATAACGAGGAGCAGGAAGTGAAATAACAGGATATTCCCGTTTCAAAAGCTAGCAGTACAAATTAATTTATAGGAAATACTTTTATTTTCTTCACTGTAATAGGTACGACTTGTCTTCGAACAGCATACCATGAAAGCTGAGAAGTTCTTAAGGAACTTAAGCTGTAATGTTTATTACTGCATTGCTATCGAATGCAGAAATCCGCTATTACTAGATAACTAGGACGTACCTGAATTTTGATTACTTGGTATATAGCGTAACTCGAAGGAAACTTATGAGTATAAATTTGCGTTAGGATTTATTTCTAACCTATTTAGCCCACCAGCGTCGGTCCGGAGTTCGAATCCCGGCAAACAGGGTGGCTGCATATGGGTATTTCCATGGTTTTCCCCATATGTAAAGTGTATACGAGCCAGTTTTCCTTAGAAAGTTCTCCAAGAAGGGATCCCTATCCTTAAACAGATAGCCCTTGAGTGCTTTGCCATAAGCCAGATCATAGAACCTCTAAACTATTTATTTTCAATTCAGTTCTTCATCAGTACCCCTACAAACTAAATACTTCTTTTCCTAGGCCGAAAGTGTTATCAAAAAGTTAAGTCGAAAGGCTTGTCATCTGAAATCAAGTTCTTTGGCTGCAAGTAAAGAAACCTGTTGTATATGTTTGGACCTTCCCAGTGCACTCTCATTTCGCTTAGAGGCTTGCGGTCATCTGTACTGCGCCGAATGTATCCATGCGCTGATGGAAGTGGAGTATCCATTATGCTGTGGAGCCGAAGTAAGTAATTATCCTTTCCATTACATTTCATACATTTATAGTGTAAGATCTAGTCCTCTCTGCTAGCATACACTGCAACTAGAAGTATGTGCTGCAACTTATCGCAAAGACTAGAAGATGAATACAACGCGGGAAGGGTGCAAAAGACCCTTTTATTGAACACAATTATTTGCAGACGACACGGAATTACGTGCTTACATTGTCACCAACCACTTTTGGTGAGGGACTTATAGATAATGTAACAAACTAAATGTAAAGCTTGTAGAGTAAGATTATACAATTTAATTTAATCTAGGAGGTTGACTCAGAAACCTACACCGACGTAATACGACTTCGGCAGCAAGAATGCGATACCGATATTCAAGATTCAAACATCTGGCAAAAATAGCAACGCTGAATAACAGAATCTGTACCTCGTAGGGATGCAGTTTACACAGCCGCGAAAGGTAGTCATACATCTTACTGTTTCCTTGTATATTTTAGTACTGTATAGAATTAGCTTTCCATAAATAACATCACTTATTTACATATGCATGCTCTGCTGGTGTATCACTTAACATCACGTTCTACCCAATTTTTCCCGGTGTTGCATTTTCTACGTAGGGACAGTATATTTACCCTTATTCCCCTTCCTTTTTTAAGCTAAAATTATCAGCCGAGAATTAAGTGAGAAAAATTATGTGAATAATTTAGTTTCTGACGGACGTGGTTACAGTAAGAACATGACAAATGAAAAGTAGTTAGCGATAAACTACAGTTAACTATCGCAATATTATATCCTTAAAAGAAAGAAACCTACATTCCAATAAGAATACCTAGTAATATTCACGTTACAGTGTGTAATAAGATGGCTTCGTTTCTGTTTCTCTGTTTGAATTTCGCCCACTTTTATTATTGTCCACTACTACTCCCTACTCCTCAAATAATTTAATGTAGCTTCTCTCTACTGTAGCTTCATCGTTGTTAGATTAGTAGTCGTTAGATTCCTGGATACACTTTGCACACACACACAAAAAAGGGGGGACAGTTCTATTTCCTCCTTTCTGCTGGGCCGGCTGATTAAATTTAACCGGCGTGTTTTATGTCTCAAAAGCGCAACGTAGGATATGTATTAGATGTACAACGTAGCATTCTTCTAAGAGCTATTCTGACACAAAATAGGGTTTTTTTTCTGCAATGACATACCTATTTTTTTCCATATTTCCATTCTGTGACTCAAATTATGCCCAAATGCGAAGTTTTATAAAAATCGCACAAGAAGTTTATAAAAAATTAGCTTTCAAAATTTTAGCTTCTAAATGTTAATTGAATTTGGTATATATTTATTAATATTTCTCTCTCTCTCTCTCTATCTTTTTTTTTTTTTTATTGAATTTTTTTTTTATTTTACCAGCGGCCGAGCGGTAAAGTCGCTGAACACTGGTAGTTCGGTCCGAGGTTCGAATCCCGCGAACGGGCTAGCTGCATGGGCGTTTTCGTGGTTTTCCCCATGTGTAACGTGTATACGAGCCAGTTTCCCTTAGAAAGTCCTCCACGAAGGCATCCCTCCCCTTAGGCAGATAGTCCTAGTGTGCTTTGCCATAATTAAATACACACACACACACACTTTTTTTTATTGAACTTGCTTAATTTCTTCTTTAAAAATTCAAAATGCAGGGTCAATCCAAATAAAATTCAGTCTTTTCTGATTTGTTTTTAAAATTTGTACTTTTTTGTAATTTTTAAAAAATTTTCGAAAACATTTTTATGTTATGTTTAACTTTTGCCATCATCTTACAGATGTATTTTTAAACATACCTGCAAAAAATTAGAGTTTTTTATTTAAAATATCCCAAGATATACGTGAATTTACATATTGGCGAAATTTGGCATATAAGTGATAATAACGCCAAATGTGATTTACGCATTTTGCTAAAGTTATTTGAAAGAATGCATTATCCATTTTTTTCCGCTCGTGCACAGTTCAAAAAGGGAAAGGAAAATTGGTTACCATAAATTACCAATTTCGCTAAGTGAATTATTCTTGGCGCAAACTGAAAAAAGTGCCCCAAGATAAATTTCTGGGTAATTTCTAGGTAAGTTTCTCAGCAAATTTTGTGTCAAAATACGCATGTTCGAACAATGGTATAAAGTCTAATATATATCGTAAGTCGCGCTTTCTAGACATGAAAAACGCAAGTTAAATTTCTTCAATCGGTGCAGTAAAATGGGAGATACAGAACTGTACCCCCTTTTTTTGTGCGCATAAAAAATCACAGAATTTTTTAAAATATATGAAAATATTATATACTTTTTTTACCAGACTTTTAAATAAATTAGTTTTATTTCATATAAATAGCTAATTGTTTGTGCTGGCATTACATTCATTTCTGTAGTGTCAAAAATATATAATTAGCATAATTTATGTTTGCTGAAGAAGACTTACATTGTGTTTTGTGATTTCTCATTAATGTGCCTCATTATTCCAACTAGTTCTTTTTTTTATGTTATCTTACCAGAAGGCTTATAAAATACACTATAAATATTTCATTAGAATTGTAGAGAAAATGTTGAAGATGCAGTATCTTTACTTTTCCCCTTAAATTAATAGCTCTTTTTCTTTTCTTTTTTTTTTTTTTTTTTTTTTTTTTTTTTTTTTTTGCAGGACTGCAATAGGAAAATTTCTGTTGATGACATTATTCACATTTTAGGCGAAAATTCTGAGAAGTTCCAGAAACTTCTGGAGAAACTTGTAAAGAAACATATCCAAACCAATGCAGAAAGCTATGCTTGTTGCCCAGCTCCTGACTGCAGTATGTTTTTCAACAAAGCCGATATTACGTCAGCAAAATGGTTTTGTCCTCTTTGTGAAAATGAAATTTGCATGAGGTGAGTTTCATAAAAAATATAAATTTTAAAGTTCGGGCATCGAGTTCAAACGGTAAAGCGTAACACGGTATAAATATATTTAAGAAGGAGTTATGGATACCAGTTTATGAACAAGGCATAAACTGGTATCCATAACCTCTTAAAATTTATTTTGGTTTATCCTTCTATAGAGTTACTAGGTTTATATATCAGCAATGCGCTAACCGGGATTCGAGTTCTTGACCTCATGATTACCAGCCAGACGTATTCACTACACTATGCAGTAAGGGCATGCAGTAAGAAATGGGAAAATTCCTTACATTCCCTCACTTAAGGAACAATTGGGGAGGAGAGATTCCATACCCAAATCCAAGTGGTGACGAATCGTCCTCTATCACATTTTATGTCGGGCGCCATTTTGTAGAGTCATTAAATGTTTATTTCGGAATAGGAAATATGAAAAATCAGCAAGATTCGAACTTCGGACCTCCCAACTGCTAACCGGACGTGCTTCCAGTTACACCATGAAGGCTTGCACTAGGGAAGGAGAAAATTCCTTACGCCTCACCTGGTAACAGAATTAGTTCAAGTGAAGTTAAATGATCTCTTAATTATTGTTGACAAAAATGTACGAAACCTATATTTTTTTGTGTGTATGTGAATTTGTATGTGTGTGTGTGTATGTATGTGAATGTGTATGTGTGTGTGTGTGTATGTGAATGTGTATGTGTGTGTGTGTATGTGAATGTGTATGTGTGTGTGTGTAAATAAACATACTTTTTGGTTAATAAACATTTTTCTACAAAAAGACAATGAACTAACTAACTGCCAGACATTACCATGTAAGTCTCGGCATTTATAGTTCTTTCAAAGCGCAGAGGCTTAATAATTGTTGCTTTGACATGGTACACTAAACAACAATTTTCGCCAACTGTAAATGAGACTTAATGAACATAACCATACTTCATATGTAAAAGGTACGTTACATAAAATGGAAATGTAGTCGTGGATGAAGTTTCTATAACTTTCAGAGACTCGACTAAGAATATGACTGTGTTCAACAAGCGCTCAAATCCCTTTCCACTTCCGAAGAATCCATGTTTTCTCAGCTACCAAACTGGTTTATAAACCATTTACATGTAGCGCATACATATATACATACATATACATCTCTTGTACGTAATTTGTGAATTGGAGAACTACTGCAAACAAAATATGTACAAAGTTTGTTTGTTTGAGAATGGATGTACAAATATTGACGACGCTGAGCGCGAGGAAAGACCATCAACTGCCACAAATGCTGAAATTGCTGCTCGCGTGAATGAATGCATTCTTGCAAACAGACACATAGTATATGTAGACCTTATTGTATATTATTTACATTTAACTTTTGCATTTCCTTGTACCTTTTTTATATATATTTTGATTTTTTAAACTTGTATTTCATTAATTTTGCAAAGATTGCATTGTTTATTGTATATCTTATGTTTATTACGATTATTTTGAGTTTTATTTCGAAAATATAGCAAAGATTAACTTCTATTTATTGTATTTATGAAAATAATTTTGAATTAACATGCATGAAAGCGAGGGTGTCGGGGGACACTTTACTCAAGTACATAATAAAATAGTTTTACTACTTAATTTATCTTTATTAACTCGAGATTTCTAAAAAATTCATTAAATTAACGGAAATGCTACATTCAAAATGAATTCTTTATAATATTCTTACTTAATTTGGCTAATATAATCTCGAGATTTCTAAAAATCCATTAACTTAACGGAACTAATTCATATTAATTCATCTCTTTAATGTCGCCCACCAGCGGCCGAGCGGTAAAGTCACTGAACACTGGTAGTTCGGTCCGAGGTTTGAATCCCGCAAACGGGCTGGCTGCATGGGTGTTTTCGTGGTTTTCCCCATGTGTAACGTGTATACGAGCCAGTTCCCCTTAGAAAGTCCTCCACAAAGGCATCCCTCCCCTTAGGTAGATAGCCCTCGTGTGCTTTGCCATAATTAAATACACCACACCACCATCTCTTTAATATCACTATTTGAATTAAAACTTGACTATTCTTTTGGCCTTAACTAAAATTGCCAGTTTGGCATCTTCATTCATTCTTACTTGAGTAAAAGATGAAACACCTTCACATTTATTAATTTTTGTTAATTGAACGGGGTTTGGTTTGTTCCCCTCGAAAAGTCAACCAATTTCCGATCAATGAAAATAATTACTTGGTTTATTAATTTTCATATTAAAAGTTTGAATTTCAATTTTTTATGGTTTAAATTCAAGTTCAAATATTTTAGGGATTAAATTTCATATTTCTGGGTTACTTCATTTAGATACATTCTACTCAGTTATATTAGGAGATAATATAATCAATATTTCTTTAGTAATAAATTATTATTATCTTACTTTGCAGCTATTGCGCAAGTATTAGGAAATTTATTTCGATTTCAATGAATTCAGTTCATTAATTTAATATATATATATATATATAGTGCTAAACAGACAACCCTAGGCGTCTCTGCCCCCATTTTGAATCGGTTTTCTTTGTTCTACAAACATGATAAGTTCATATTTTATCAGTTAATTGTTAAATTTACTTGTATTCTCTAGTTTTAGTAAATTTTTTTTTTTTTTATTTTATTTTAATATTAGTAACTGTATATATTACTTTTTGCTCGGTTAGGCTAATTGTATTTATTTCATTTAAATTTGTTTTTATGTATTATTGAAAGGAAAGCAACAGTTTAGAGGAGGATTCGAAATTTTCGGAAAAACTACAATAATTAAATAATTTATCAGCTGATTTTGGGTGAATATAAACACAGTGGTTTTCCTAGGAAGTTGACTCAATTGGGATCGGATGGAACTGCTCTTGATAACGTTGAATCAGATTTTGATTGTGTTCCTCTTGCTTTTCTTTTTTTATGTATTTTTATGTATTTCCATTGTTTTCGAGGTTTCTTCTGGTTTAAATACAATGAGCTGATAGGGTTTTTTTACATTTGCATTGGGAAATTTAGAGATTGTAATGGTTTTATATTTCATTTCTTTCATGTTGGTGTTGTTTTGGCTTTAAATTTATCACTTTTTTGTCTATAAATGATTGATGTTTTAGCAGCATTTTGCGCGAAAAAGATCTGGGATATTTTTGTTTCAAAACATTTCTGTAATATATATAGTATTACAGAAATTGTTTATTTAAACCAAAAATGAAAATGAAATTTACATCGTCCTCTGAATCGTTATCAGGTGGGTTGGTGAAGCAAAAGAAGTAAATAAATAAAGTAAAACGGCCTGTTTCTGAACCGACAGAGACACAAATTTCATTTCATTAATTTAATTTAATTATTTGAGTTTAAAATTTTAAAATAGTCTCAGAAAAGCATAGTAATCGGTGTCTCTATCAGTCCAGCCGTTACATGTCGAAGTACGCAAGGCTAAAAATGCAAAATTTTAGCATTAAAAACATAGACATTTTTTTTAATATTGAGAAATAATAAATAGTTTTTAAAAATATTTTGAGTAGAGAGTCTACTCAAAGTTGAGTAAACTTGCAAAAATAATAATCTAGTACTTGGGCCAAAAAATATGCAATCCAAAACTGGAAATAATAGAACTTTATGAAAACATGCAAGCCGGGTTAAAAAAAAATAGTGTAAATCGTAAACAACCTGTTAGAATAAATTATTGCCACTTTTGCATAATGAAATCGAGCAACGTCAAAAACAAACGAACGCCAAACGATATTGTATATTGGCGAGAAAAGATTCTACTTTGATTCAGATTCAGAAGTCTCAAAAAGATTTTTGTACTTACGGTTATACTTGTGCTTCATGCTTTTCAGCATGTTATCTTCTTTTATGGAACATTTCCTGATACTATTGCCTAATAGGTAAGCTTGTAGCTATTTAAAAATTATAAATAAGCCTCTTATAAGTTCTTTATTTCAGCACTTCGATTTAAATATTTGTAAAGACGGTTAACTTTTTATTTTCATTCTATTTGTGTTCTATTTGAGTTAAACAAACTCTCTGACTTGTTAAATAAAGAAAATGTGCTAAATAGAGGATGCTGTACTCAAACACCTTAACTGTGTTAAATGCATGACATATCACAACCAAAAAACTTAAAAATCTAATAAAATTTTTTTAATGTGCGTGGACCAAGTCCAAAAATACAGTCTCTCACAAAAATGACACAACAATATTTTAGCTTTTTTAAGTAATAGGAGAAAAGCTTTGCAGTAAACTAATAAAGAATATTTTTCTTTTGAATACATAGTTTCTTAGCTATCTCTTTGTACTGAATAAATTTGAAAAAACGAAATAATAAATTTAAAAATTAGCGTTTTAAACTGAAATGGAAGAAAAAGATACCACAAAATTAATCGGATATTTTCATATTTTCTAATTAAAATCATCTGCAATAAATAAAAAAACAAAATTTCATGGAATTAGTTTGGATAAAGAAGCTAGGTAAAACTCTAAAAATTGTTCGCTTTTATAATTCGAATTTTCTTTATAGAATATATTCGTTATTTTAATGTTTTCTTGCAATAGCATGGGCACGAAAGGAAACATTGTTAGAAATCCACAGATTAGTTACTGATTTGCAGCAAAAGAAAGATTAAATCTATTAGAAAAATTGCCTATTTAAAAAACTTAAGTGATTTTTAAATTTTTGATGCTATTAAGTATTATAAGATACAGAATCGTATTCAAAACAAAAGATGACCTGGAAGACCATCTAAATTATGTCGTGGAATGAAACACTTTATTCTAATGAATGTTAAAAAGAATCTAAGACTGAATGCTCCTAAGCTTGTTGCGGAACTTCGTGAATTATATGGAATACGTGTAAATCCAGGAACTGTAATAAGACTAATGCGATTTGCAGGATATCATGAGCGAGTAGCAC